TGTATTTCAGGCCTACTGTTGTTTTGTGGGTAGACTGCACTGAATGAATGAGCTGTTCTTGTTGGGAAGATGTTTGTTCATCCTCTCTGCTTTTCCATCCCACATACATAATGTTGGCCCAACTGGCTGCTGCAGGTTTTATTGTGGAGGGTGGTCAATGCAAAGCAATGTATCACCAGTGAATATGCCAACATTGACAGATAACGGCTTTGGCCCACAGTAACACGCGTAAGATGTATCCATCAGTAGCCTCTTCACCATATGCAATTGGCATTATATGGTGAGCGCACGACCCCTTCGATATCGCGTATCATCTTTCTTCATACTTCAAAATATCCGGTTAGATATTGTTGTTGTTGTTTACCGCTTTTCGTCTGCGCCACCTGATTCTGCTGGTCATAAGCGCGTGCCTTTAACAAATGAATGGTTCATCATCACTCCCGTAGCGTCCTGTCACTAGCGATCCAAAGATGATGGTTACTCCTCTCGGCCTGCATCGTCCATCGATTCCGCGAGGCGGTCACATATGTGCAGAGTCACAAAGTGAACTGATCACTTTCGGCAATTCTTCTATCGTCGACTGGCATAAGTCTTTGGCATTGATAGGTAAGGGAGCACACTTCAATGCATTGATCCTCCAGGTTTTAGAAGCATAAATGGTTCCTAATCCATGGAATTGGAAACCAACGTCCTGCGCGGTGTCGCCAATACCGCCAGCCTTTGTATCCAGCTGTAGTGTCGCGCTGCAGCTTTAACACTACGTGGCAACGCGCAAAGCGTTTCGCCCTTCGTTCCTTATATATTATACCTCTTCAATTTGTACTCGGGGCAGGTAGAAGTGACTCACGCCTTCACATTAACGCGCTTCGCTTTGCACGCTCTCAAGTTTTTATCGTAACTGCCTGACTCAACATGGAGTGAAGATACGCCTGTGTATCTACAGTAAGATGCTTGACCTACACGCTCAATAATGCTAACATCATCAAGGCGCTGAGCCTGCCAGCATCCAGAGACTGCAGGATCACTGCATGTGGGTTCCCCTGATCTCAAAACACCACATGACCTCCTAATTTTTGGACTTTCACACATGACCCTGGAACCTGCCCCCTCTACAGTCCAAAGCAAACTTGCCTATGCTGGTTCATCATCGTCTGTTGATAAGCGGGCATCTAAAAGGCTTCTGATTAGTGGGTTGATGATAAAGCATTTGAGGAATGAATGAGACTCGGCAAATGCGATCGACGGCGTAAACAGGGCAGAGTGGTGGTGGAGGCTACAAACGCCAGAAAATCATGTGTGCACCGCGATATTATGCATTGATGTTCAAAGGAAGCGGTTTATATCGTTGCCGCCGTGGAACGCTGCGGTCCAGCGGCGAAGGCCGCCTGCTACATAGTTTTGTATCTGACTAAGTTTCCTTAGATTCTGAGCTGGTGGCTATATCACTTTAGATAGTCAGATGCTGAGTACCTCCCTTTAGAACGCGCCTTTGTGCTTGCTTTCCGGTTTCATAGAATTGTAATCATCTAAGAGAGATAACGGTGTCCTAGTACATCTGTAAAGAGCTTGCATCAGTCATCGGAGCTGTACAGCTTTCAGCTAGCTCGCCCACCAGGGAGTGATCTGTCTATTAGTAGCGACTGAGACCATCGCTGTAATTCTTCTGCTAACTGAGCCTGCGAAGTGGAGTAGGTTTAGCCCAGCGAATTGGCAGGCATCCGTCATGTTGAAGAAAGCCATCTGCACCGGGGGTGTTAAGGGTAATGGTTCAGTCCAGGTTCAGCTTGGCTTTAGAGGATAGCGTTGGCAGAGTTCATCTCGCGTCGTCGCGGCTGTATATATGCGAACCACAAGGCACCGTGCTGGATCCAGGGGTAGGCTTGTGCTTGGGGATGTAGTCTGTTTAGTGGAGCGCTTCCAGCCCGGCGGCATGCGGTTATAGTTCTGTTTTAAACCAAGCGCAGCTGATGGAATGCTAGGGGAACGAGGTATAGCTACTAACCAAGAGCTCAACAATCAAGATCAACAGAATCATGTTCGTCATGATGAGGATATAGATCCAAAATCACTGTTGTCTGGTGAGGTAGGCATGTAGTCAGTCGTGAGAGAAGTGGTTTTGAATCAGGAGAAGCGTGTGCAGGTGAAAGGCATGAGGATATGAATTGGAGGACCAAGGAACTATGGCTATTCTTACCTTCATTTGCCTCGTTTGCCTTATTCTAAGGCTTGCCTTCACTCGCTTCTCAGCTCACCACGCTTTGCTCATTCGTCAATTATGGTGACTGCACACCCGTACTGTAGGAAACGTTGTGCAGCGTAGCGCATCTCACGTCAGGTGCATCGCCCACCGCATGGGCACCAGTGGCATGCTTGACAGATTGCTGCATAATGGCGTTCTAAGGCACAATATAGCCACGTCTCATGCCCCTGTTTACTATCACTACTGTGGATCCAGGCGCCTAAACCCAGGGTCCTTTGTCTCTGCTTTAGAACCTTGCCTATTTAAGGATCATCCTGTATTGCTTCGGGGTCTGGCTAGCCAGAGGAACTCGCCCATCTATGCCAGTCAGATTATAGAACAAGGTCTATCCACCATACTATGTCTTATCAAACAAATTATGAAGATGGTAATAAGATTACGACAGAAACAGGCAGGCAAAATCCAGCTCGCACAGCGTTGTTAATAGTTCTCAACGCGACTTGTAGTTACGTGACCTTTCGTAGAAACTGCATCCCCGGCATTCCAATACTTCGTCAGCCCAGCGCCTGACCGTCGCCCGCTGCAACCGGCGTTCGGACTTTTGTCACCAGCGTCCCACTCTGCGCGCCAGACTAGCTAGATTCAGCCAAAGGAAGGCGCGGCCGCTATTGCCCTGTAGCTTGCTAGTCATACCATGGCCTGTTAGATATTGTTGAGATGTGTGACGATGCTGTCACACCTACATGTCATCCGGAAACGAACCCGCCTCTTGTACTAAGACCTGCAACACACACCCACGGAGAAGCGCCACTCGCGCCTGAAGATTCCCTAAACATGGTCTTTCCTTGCCAATCATCCACTCGTGCTCAGCATCAGTTATACCAGGTAGAGCTTCCTCTCCGTGGTGAGCTAGGCCGTATTAGGCAGAACTGTAGCGCGCCTTGAGGAGGTGATGATCTCGGTGCATAGTGCTTTGGCAGGCGTTCTCGTTGGGATATGTACGGTGGTAGCATTGTATTAAAGAAAAACTCATTGACTAACTAACGTCCGTCCCCGCGTAACGGGACACCCTGCGTGACGGGATGCCACAGATACTCCCCAACATAACAAACGCAACAACAGGTTATAAGAACAGATATTCTCGGGATAGTAGCCTTAAGCTACACAGTCTATTCTCTCCTAGTGTCTTTTAGAGATAGATTCTACTTACTATGCAATACAACAATTTAGTATAGGCTGGCGTGATTTGTCCCCCCGTTTTTGAGATTTGTCCCCCGCCGAAGTACCGAATTGCTTTGCATCCACACAACTTAACACCAGCAGAATTTTAAATAAGTTTTCAAACGTCATAAGTTATTCTAGGGCCTCGCAAAGCTTCCTCAAAAATTTAAAGCCAAAGATCAGCCTGTGTTGTAGTTCAATTGCATATTAAAGTTGGTGACAATTTCGAAGAAATCGCCAACTTCAACTCCACTTAGCTCGTTCCCATCTCTGTCGGAAGTTACAAAATGCAGGCGAGAGGTACTTTAGTGCATGCAGAACGTATTCCAAGCTTCAAAGATAAAAATTACACGTGGTGTTGCGGTGAAATTGCATTGCGGAGCGCAAAAGTTGCCATTTTCGGTACTTCGACGGGGGACAAATCTCAAAAACGGGGGGACAAATCACGCCAGCCTTTAGTATAAGCGTTAAGCAACCGCCTTGCTTTAGCTAGCAGCGGGTGCGTTAAAAGCTCCTGCATCTCGTTAAAAGTCTGTTAACTTAGAACTTGTCGTATTATCATCCTATTCCGAGCACTGCACTTAAGCACAAGAGATTGTCGTGCGTCTGTGCTAAGTGCAAGACTGCCTGTTAGAAGTGCTAGACAAGGAGGACCCGCGCATCTAGCTTAAAGCAGCTTAGCTGTAATCTATTGCTGCTGACGCTGGATCTGTGGCTGTGTGGCTGCGTGGCCGTGCGACGCTTTTGCTAAGCGCGCTAGGACGCCCAAAAACCAGCTTAGGTTGGAAGCAGGGCCGGGTTTGAAGGCCCCAGCATTTGGCTCGCGTCTACGAACACACCCAGCACCAAAACCGCAACTAGCTTCGATACGGCCATCGTGCAACTTTAAGATGCAGTGTAATGCATGACCATAGCTAACGCAAAAACTTGCATGCTATAGAGATAACTATCGCGCGGCTCTACAGCTCCGCAGACCCGCCGTTAATCCCTCGTGCTCTCGAGCATATCGCAAGCAACACATATTTCTAACTGTAGCCGCATATCGCCTTAGCTCGTTGAAGAGAGTACAATGAGTTAAGAGGCGTCTAAGAATAGGGTGGGCAGGTCTCACCCAGCGGGCATGGCCAGGGACAGAGGCTAACTGGCATGATCCAGAATACTAAGATCCGAGTCTAGGCTTTAGCAAGGGGAGTGGGTGTTACTGGGAGATCGCCGTCGGTTGACGCACACATAAAGGTGGAAAGGGTCCGCATATCTTAGGGATACGGCTGTTGTACGGTTATACAACAAACGGCTTCTCGCATAAGCACTGCAATCATCAGGGCGGAGGACATTCTATCTCTTCGCAATGCCATTCAATCCGGATGTCCATGGCAAGGGTGTGGCAGATGCGGGTTGGCCATCTACCTAGCTTGTGGTGGCAAATTTGCCGCACGTTGCTTTCATTGCAGCGTCATAAGCATCGCTGTCAGCGTTGTGTTTAATAGACTACTATTACCGCTAAAACATAGGCTTTAGAATGTAGCTATCTTCTTTCAAGGACACCAATCAGCCAGCCATGCATGCGTTTCCCTTATGATCACTTGGCACCCCATGCCACTAGCAGCTGCACCACCGCTTCGTGGCCTCCTTTTGAAGCCGCGTAGAGTGCGTTGCCGAAGTGTCCACCCTGGGCGTTGACGTCGGCGCCCTTGTCTAGCAGCAACCTTACTACTGCTTCGTGGCCTCCTGTTGAAGCCGCGTAGAGTGCATTGCCGTAGAGTCCACCCTGCGTGTTAACCTCGGCGCCCTTGTTGAGCAGCAGCTGCACCACCGCCTCGTGGCCTCCTTGTGAAGCCGCCTGGAGTGCATTGCCGTAGCGTCCACCCTGCGCGTTGACGTCGGCGCCCTTGTTGAGCAGCAGCTGCACCACCGCTTCGTGGCCTCCTTTTGAAGCCGCCTGGAGTGCGTTGCGGTAGGATCCACCCTGCGTGTTAACCTCGGCGCCCTTGTTGAGCAGCAGCTGCACCACCGCTTCGTGGCCTCCTTTTGAAGCCGCGTAGAGTGCGTTGCCGAAGTGTCCACTCTGCGCGTTGATCTCGGCGCCCTTGTTGAGCAGCAGCTGCACCACCGCCTCGTGGCCTCCTTTTGAAGCCGCGTAGAGTGCATTGCCGTAGCGTAAACCCTGCGCGTTGATGTCGGCGCCCTTGTCCAGCAGCAGCAGCACTACCGCTTCGTGGCCTCCTTTTGAAGCCGCGTAGAGTGCGTTGCCGTAGCGTCTACTCTGCGCGTTGACGTTGGCGCCCTTGTCCAGCAGCAGCTTTACTACCTGCTTATGCCCATTCTCTGCCGCCAACAACAGCGGTGCCTTGTCGTTATCATCATTTGTGGCCTGTATATTGGCTTTTTCCCTCAGCGACTTTTGCGCCGTCGCCTCTTGGCCATGTCGGGCAGCCCACAACAGCGCTGAGTGTCTAGATTGTTGTACATTGTAGCGGTAGAGGTAGCTATCTAGGAGACGGTAAAGGTGGCGGTTGGCTTGTGCAACGGCGTTGATATCTCTCTCAGATTCCAGGTTTTCTGATATATTTCGGAGTAACTCATTTGGCAGATCAAGCAGTGGCATTGCTGAAGTAGCACGTGTTGTGAAGGAAGCCCAAAAAGAGAGAGTTGAGGACGATTGTAGGGCAAGCGGCGGCAGGGTATCAAACCACCAGGGTTCAGCGTCACGTAGCCCTGCTCCCAATCCGAGCCGGTTCTCGGGTGTCCTAGAGCGCTTGGCAAAAGCGGTGTTCAGCCACACAGCCACGCAGCCACGGATCTAGCGTCAGCAGCGATACGTTACCGCTAAACTACTTTTAGTTCGGTATGCGTGGCCTCCTTATCTAGCACTTCTGGCAGGCGTACTTGGAATTAACACAACAGCACGACAACCTCTTCAGCGTAAGCGCAATACTCGGGATAAGATAGTTATATAACAAGCTATAAGTTGACAGAGTTTCGATAAGACGCATGAGCTATTAACGCACCTATCGCTAGTTAAAGCAAGGCGGTCGCGTGACGGTTATGCTAATGTCCGTCCCTACGTGCCGGGACGCACGGTGTGACGAGACGCTTTTTCTTCTGGAAGCTCGGAATATCCCCAGCACGCCTGCATTATAACAAACGCAATGCACATCTATCCTGCAGCTCTTACTCTTCTAGTGCATTAGCCTCCGACGCTAAGAAGCGCGTCGTTGACCTCGCTGTCGCTCGTTCTGTTAGTGCTGTCTATTAACTTCCCTCTAATACCCCCTTGTTCGTTCGCAACAACTAGCATTTGCAGAGAGCTCAGTAGACTAAGAAGGAGGTTAAGATAGCAAAGAGCAGGACTGCAGGCTTAACAGGTTAACTTAAGGTAAGAAGTGTGCATCCCGGGAGTTTCTCCGCGCGGACGGCAAGATCGTCGAAACGCCTGTGATCGGCTGTGCGTTTTAAGCGACATTTAGCTGCAGTAGCGTGCTAGAATATCTGCAGGCCTTGCTGCGCACTGTGGCTAAGGATCGTAGCGCTAAGAGTGATACTTTAGGCTGCTGTTATTCCCGGCGCTGCATGCAATCACATCACAGTCTCAAATCCCTAGTCTCTGGTACGCGCAACCCCTATTTTGCAAAGCTACTAAGTACTTTTAGCATGTAATAGATTGGCCATGCTGCTAAATACACTAATGAGGTTATAGAGGAAGGTAGGCCTTCTTGGCCTTGCATAAAGCTGTGCATCTAGAGAAATATTACTGGCTCGGCTTCTCCCATGCTTCGATCTCCCCGTCTAGAGTTTTGCTAGTCAAGACTGCTCTTGTAACACAAGCGCTTTGCTACGATGTTCACAACATGCTCGGATCGTTAGATGATACTTTCTAAGGACAACGTTGTAGCCATCAGACGCCCTGCTGTACAGCTTAAGAGATTCCTTGTAGTCACAGAGCGTCGCAAGCAGCACACGCTGATGAGCGTGTCAGGGTGCTCGCGCCCAAGCACCTTCTCGCGTCCTTGCAGTGCTCGTCGATGCATCGCTTCAGCCTCTTCGTACTTGCCCTGGCTCTCTAGCACCAACCCAAGGTTGTTAACGCTGATGAGCGTGCCAGGGTGCTCGCGCCCAAGCATCTTCTCTCTTGCTTCTAGCGCTCGTCGATGCATCGCTTCTGCCTCCTCGTACTTGCCCTGGCTCTCTAGCACTAACCCAAGATTGCTGACGCTGGTAAGTGTGTTGGGGTGCTCGCGCCCAAGCATCTTCTCTCTTGCTTCTAGCGCTCGTCGATGCATCGCTTCTGCCTCCTCGTGCTTGCCCTGCCTCTCTAGCACCCACCCAAGATTGCTGACGCTGGTGAGCAAGTGGGGGTGCTCGCGCCCAAGCATCTTCTCTCTTGCTTCTAGATCTCGTCGATGCATCGCTTCTGCCTCCTTGTACTTGCCCTGGCTCGACAGCACCGACCCAAGGTTGTTAACGCTGATGAGCGTGTCAGGGTGCTCGTGCCCAAGCACCTTCTCAGATCCTTCTAGATCTCGTCGATGCATCGCTTCTGCCTCCTTGTACTTGCCCTGGCTCTCTAGCACTGATCCAAGATTGCTAACGCTGGTAAGTGTGTTGGGGTGCTCGCGCCCAAGCATCTTCTCTCTTGCTTCTAGCGCTCGTCGATGCATCGCCTCTGCCTCCTTGTACTTGCCCTGGCTCTCTAGCACCGACCCAAGGTTGCTGACGCTAGCAAGCGTGTCAGGGTGCTCGCGCCCAAGCATCTTCTCTCTTGCTTCTAGCGCTTGTCGATGCATCGCTTCAGCCTCTTCGTACTTGCCCTGGCTCTCTAGCACCAACCCAAGGTTGTTAACGCTGATGAGCGTGTCAGGGTGCTCGCGCCCAAGCATCTTCTCTCTTGCTTCTAGCGCTTGTCGATGCATCGCTTCTGCCTCCTCGTACTTGCCCTGGCTCTCTAGCACCGACCCAAGATTGCTGACGCTGGTGAGCAAGTGGGGGTGCTCGCGCCCAAGCATCTTCTCTCTTGCTTCTAGCGCTCGTCGATGCATCGCTTCTGCCTCCTCGTACTTGCCCTGCCTTAACAGTACCGACCCAAGGTTGTTGACGCTGGTGAGCGTGTCAGGGTGCTCGCGCCCAAGCACCTTCTCGTACCCTTCCAGCGCTCGTCGATGCATCGCTTCTGCCTCCTCGTACTTGCCCTGGCTCTCTAGCACTAACCCAAGGTTGCTGACGCTAAAAAGCGTGTCAGGGTGCTCGCGCCCAAGCACCTGCTCGCACCCTTCCAGCGCTTGTTGATGCATCGCCTCTGCCTCCTCGTACTTGCCCTGCCTCTCTAGCACCGACCCAAGGTTGCTGACGCTGATGAGTGTGTTGAGGTGCTCGCGCCCAAGCACCTTCTTGTACCCTTCTAGCGCTTGTCGATGCATCGCTTCTGCCTCCTCGTACTTGCCCTGGCTCGACAGCACCGACCCAAGGTTGATGACGCTGACGAGCGTGTCAGGGTGCTCGCGCCCAAGCACCTTCTCGCGTCCTTGCAGTGCTCGTCGATGCATCGCTTCTGCCTCCTCGTACTTGCCCTGGCTCTCTAGCACCGACCCAAGATTGCTGACGCTAGTGAGCGTGTCAGGGTGCTTGCTACCTAGTACTCTCCTCCTTGACTCCATTACTTGCAAATAGAGCTCTTCGCCTCTGTTGTATTGTCCATCGCTCTCTAACGCTATAGCGCAATTTTCTGCAAGATTTGTTCCCTCCTCGTTATCGTTCTTCTCACTATGCGACAGTGCATATTGTGCGTGCGGCAGCAGTCGCCTCCATTTGCTTCTGTTACTGTGATCGCTGCTTGGAAACACCCGGAGCAGCTGCGTGACTGTGCGTTGAGTGCATTCGTGAAGCCGTCCCTGCACCTGCAGCTGCTCTCGTAAGGCTTGGTGCACTAATCGATGCACATCGAATGCTGACTCAGCAGGTCGCCTTGTGATGACCGCATACCTGTCAAGTATCATGATTGTATCTTCACGGGCCTGTGGCGACGCTGCCTTAAGCAGATCGAGCGGAATGTCCTTTCGGTCTACGCACGCAGCAAAGTAAAGATGTTCTGCAGCAATGGCGTTGCTCTGGCGGACTTGACCTATGGAAAGAGATAGTGTGGCAGCTACAGCCTTTCTCAGACTGGACTCTCCCTGATCGCCTTTACGCAAGTCATTGCTGTGCTTAAGAGCTGCTTGATTGTGCTCGTATAGCCGTGCTTGGTACTGCTGCACTGTCATATTGCTTGCGTTTATGCACGCTGCTGCTTGCGACACTGCTAGAGGCAGGTGCGAGAGTTCTTTTATCAAGCACATGGCTCCCGGCTGCTCAGCATTAGAGAGCGGCATCTTCAAACGGGATTGCAACATCCTCAGCGCCGTGTCTGGCGTCAGCTCACGCAGCGTTACCACATCTTGTGGAGCAAGCTTCTTAGCCGTGTCGCTTTCTGTTGTTGTGAAAATAACAGAACACAGCTTAGAATGCGGCAGAAAGTCGGCTAAATCCGCGGCTCGTATTGCAGATAAGCCGCTATGCTGGAGTGTGGTGCCCTCTACGTTGTCGTAGATTAGCAAACACTGTCGCGCACTCATTGCTGCCACACAGCGTTTAACGATCTGCTTTGTGTCTGCTTGATCATCGTCACAGCCATGGATACCGAGCTTCTGCGCAACGCTTGCATAAGACCGATAGAGACTGTCTACGTCGCTCGCATCGATCCAGAAGACTGAGCAGTTCTTGTTGTTCAGTCTTGTCCTGTGCGCAACCTCAAGCGCAAGTTGCGACTTGCCTGTACCGCCTGGGCCGACTATTGCTAGCGTTGTGGTTGTCTGCTCGTTGCTAAAGAGCTTTGCTTCAAGTTCAGCAAGCTGGGCTTCGCGACCCACAAAAGACTCGTTTCGTGAGAATGGAATGATCGACGGTGCGCTGCCAGCTCCCTCGACTTCAGCCTGCAGTCTTATTAATGCGCTCTGCTTTCCTTCTCCGTACGTCGTAGGCATAGAGACGCCAAGAAGTCCAAGCAGGCAGTACACGATGTCTTCTTCCTCAGTCGTCCTACGATTCTTAGCCCACTGCTGTCGTTCAGATGTACTGAACTGCTCTAAAGGACAGTTGCGCAGCGCGGCGAGCGGGATGTCGGTGATCTCGTGTAGTAATTGTTCAAGCGATGTTTTGTCGCCTAGATGATGTCCTTCGCGCGAGAAAAACTCAACTGTTACTGGCGCGACCAGCTCTTGGAGCGTCCATCCTCGAGTGAACCAATCGCTCCTTCGGAACGACGCCTCCCAGCTGCTGCGCTGGGACGCTTCTGTCCCAGAAGACACTGAGACGTCGGACAAGAAGACGTAGCATCGGGCTGAGTTTCGGTACCATTGGAACATCGAGTTGATTGAAGACGAGAGCTCGTCCTTGTCCCATCTGTTGATGCAGCATGTGTCGATCCAGAAGTACTGCAGCCCATCCTGAGCCACCTGTTTATTACAGAACCGCAGCTTCCGATAGCCTTCTTCCCGTCCTTCGTAGTTTCTGTTCGACACGTCTTCAAAGAGGGCTTCGGAGCCGCTCCATCGGTGCGATAAGATAGCGTATGGCGGGATCGGCTTGCCGCGAAAGTCTGTCAAGATCAGTTTGCCTAGCGCGTTAAAGTGGAGTAGTCGCATGGCGCTTGCAGTCTGGGAGTTTATTAGAGTTGCGGGCGTCTTTTGTGGCAGTGAGACCACAATGATATGGTTGCGACAGGGCAGAGAAGGCAGCCTGGCGAGGCAGTGCATACAACAAGGCTGTAGGTGCTGCTAACTGCATCAAGCGCCCAGCGTCCTGCACCGCCTCGCCTCACCATCTGCGCTGGGGCAGTGTGTGCCTTGTGAAGTCATATTAAAAGAGTGCACATGTGGGTAAGGTGTCAGTAGATATAGCATATCTACAAAGGTTGTTGTTATAGCATCTCGCCTAGCTCTACGCGACAGAAGCAAGCAAAATTGGGGGAAACGGCTGCCGGCATGGCTGGGGATAAGAGTTGTTTGCCGCCGGGCGGTCGTCAAAGCCGCGATTCTCAGCCACAGCGCGCAGCCCGCGAACATATCAGCACGCTAAAGAACTGCTAAGTGTCGCTTAAAACGCACAGCCGATCACAGGCGTTTCGACGATCTTGCCGTCCGCGCGGAGAAACTCCCGGGATGCACACTTCTTACCTTAAGTTAACCTGTTAAGCCTGCAGTCCTGCTCTTTGCTATCTTAACCTCCTTCTTAGTCTACTGAGCTCTCTGCAAATGCTAGTTGTTGCGAACGAACAAGGGGGTATTAGAGGGAAGTTAATAGACAGCACTAACAGAACGAGCGACAGCGAGGTCAACGACGCGCTTCTTAGCGTCGGAGGCTAATGCACTAGAAGAGTAAGAGCTGCAGGATAGATGTGCATTGCGTTTGTTATAATGCAGGCGTGCTGGGGATATTCCGAGCTTCCAGAAGAAAAAGCGTCTCGTCACACCGTGCGTCCCGGCACGTAGGGACGGACCTTAGATTGTTGTATTACGCCGTAAGCCGAACCTATCTCTAAAAGACCTTACGAGGGGACTGAATTTGTAGTTTAAGGCTGCTATCCCGAGAGTTTGTATGCCTCTAGCCTGTTGTTGCGTTTGTTGTGTTAGGGATTGTCTATGGCGTCCCGCCACGCAAGGTGTCCCGTTACGCAGGGATGGACGTTATCTAGGTACTATTATACATTAAAATTTGTAGTCAAGAGATTATTCCAAGGTTACGTAGCACTAGTATTCTGAACCTGCTGAGCCGCTCAGTGGAAGAGCAGCTCTCTTCTTCTTAAATGGATCACGCGACTCTACATCCGGCATATCTCCTACGTTGACCTTGACATTTTCAATCACAGATTCGTCGTCGTCGTCAACCTCCATAGGATCATTCTCTTCGGGCCGCTTGATCATCCTCTCATCATCTGGAAACAGCCATGGGTGGCTTTCAAAGTCCTCCGAAGTCAAAGGGAGCTTTGTCTTAGGATGCCTTCTTTGTGCCTTGCACGCCTCGAAGTACTGCTGTCGTTTGTGGTAGGCTGGGATCATGATCGCTAAGTGCTTTTCTGCATACTTTTTCCCAGCGAGTTGGATGAACTCTGTTTTGCTTAGCCAATCGGCCTGTGTAATCCCCTTATACGCAACGCGGACATAAGTATCAGGCTGACGCTGCTTTGCGCCGGCGTGACTAACATAGCCTTCTGCGCGTGGCATGACGACACAGGGACCGATCCCTATCAATGGGTTATTCTTAAGGCCTTTCTTCCTTTCCTTTATATTGAAATTGATCACTTTGTCTTGCGGCATACTCAGCACCTCCTGGACCTAGGTCACTTCCCTTGATTACCCTGAAGTACTCCCATTTCTCTTCTCCTATACCAGCGTTGATGATAAAGCGATGGAATCTGGGGTTATCGGAAATTGAAGCGCGAGTTGCTACCAACGGTCCGTATTCCGTTTCACCATTCCCGTATGCGAAAGGCTCAACGCGGTCGTTATCTAGTGACATCGAATCTATGTCCAGATCGAGCAGATTCTCGTCTGTCAACTGGCCAAGAGAAGATTTCTGTATAGGAGACTGAGTCCGGGTCCTTGAGGTAGATTCAGGAGCAGGAGTATCACCAGGTGCTTCATCTGTCTCGAGAACAGGATCAGGCACATTGTCAGGTGCTTCGTTCGTCTCGAGTGCTATCAAAGTGTCTTTTGCTGGCTCTTCACTTGCAAGTTGCTTCAGCAAGTTCTCGATCTCTGCTAGCACCTGGTCTCGATCTTCTTTCTTCCATTGGTCCACCATCTCCTCTAAGATTGCCATGGGCATACAATTTATGTCTACACCGATGCCATTCGCTTTATTAGAGTCCTGCAAACTCTTGTTGTGTCTCTTGATCGTGGTCAGGTGCTTGTTCACAGCTTTTAGGTGGTCGTCCGATTGGACGGAATCATCGCGCACGATAGTAACAAGATCGTATACGGAGCGGGATGCTAGTTCCCATGCGACATTTTGCTCCAATGTTGGTCGCTCGATCTGGGCACTTAGCTTCTTATAAAGCTCTTCGTGCTGATCTGAAGTTTTGATAAAGCTCTCGAACCTCTCACGTGCTTCAGTAGACATGATATCAACTGAATTGATGCCCATGCCGTTCGACGTCTCCTCCATGAAGATCAAAGCCCCACGAAGGAAGTCTTCAATCTGGCGCTCGTTTGATTCCATATCCTCTTCAAGCTCGACTACCTTTAGGTCCAATCGGGCCTTTTGCCTTCGATCTTTGGTCGACTCTATCTGCTCGAAAGCCTCGGTGCGCTTCTTTTCTAATTGCTCCTTCGACTCCAATTGATTGGCCCGTCGAAGATGCTTGTTGAGCTCAGAAATAGAGTTGTAGAGTCGCTGTGCAGGAAACTCATACTTGTTGATCATCTCCTGTCTGGTACATTTCTCTAGCCCGAGCTCCACTCGAAACCTGTTCTCAATATCCACCAACTCGTTTTCGATAGCCTCGTTTGAAGCCTGGGGATTCTGAGCGACAAAAGCTCGCCTCTCACGTTGTTTCTTCTTAGGCCACTGAGCCATGAAGAGCTCAGCGGCTTTCTTTTGTCCAGGTGACGATATGACGCCTTCGATGTACTTTCTAATCTTCCCATTAGCCTGATTGAATGCCTTCTGGTGACTATCAGGAATCCTTTCACTGTTCCTGTCCCTTAGCCACCAGGATTTCACCATAGGATACAGACCCTTCCAGACCTTCTGTACTTCTGCCGGGAGTGGAGGCGGTGGCTTGCGTGCCTTGCGTGCCTCAGTGTAACCGCGCATCCCTTCATTCTCGATTTGTACCTTTCTTTGTTGATCCTTCGCATCTCTGCGTGCTTTTGTCTTAGCTCTATGCTCCTTTTTCGCCTCGGGGTTTTTATAGAGCTCAGCCTTCCTGATTCGTTTTGCTTCCTTCCTCGCCTGGATTGATGATTCGTCCTCGTTAGGATCAGCTTCAGAATTAGAGTCTCCCGAGCTTGCAAAAGAATCCTCCTCATCTTGTGAGTAATAAGAAGAAGCATTGTCACGACGCGAGACTGATCGAACATCGTTGTTACGATCGCCTTCAGCGTCTACTTCTTTTTGAACAAGCTTGTCCTTTCGTGTCCCCTCGATGCCGCTGGGCTCGTTTCCTACCGTCGCATCGGTTTCCTTAGTCTTGGCTACGGCCTTTCCTTTCTTATCCGTGGGTAATCTGGTGTCAATCGTTGCATGGGAACCGCCTTGGCGGGAAGATGAAGGAGGGTAGTCGACTTGTGTGGCCATGGTGTAAGCTTCTTGTGTTTCTCCTGACGTGTGTTACGGTGTGTAGTAGTGGATGTTGGGACCTGCTCAACGTTGGGTAAGATGGTATTGGTTTCTGCTGCATCACTAGCCGGCACGCGGATGAGTTTTATAGAAACACCGTTCCAGAATGTTTTGCGTTGTGCTGTAATCAAGATACAGAAGCCAGTAACAGAATGGGGCTGTTTGGTAATACAGGCGCAGGAAAACTGTATCGTAGTCCGCTTTCCAGTCACACTGTTTTCAGACACCCGCATTTGAGCACGCAAGGGTGCGCTACTTAAGAAGAGACTTAGGCCGTCCGAAATGCGTGCAGAGATGATGGCTAAGCTTCACTTTCTACTAGCGTACTTTAGCACCGTTGTGCTGGCTGCCACAACGTGCGTTACCCCGCCCTCCTTGCAGGCAATCTCGAAGCGAGACTTAGCCACCGAGTCCCCCGCATCGCACGCAACTGCGTTAGCTAGCTCTCTTACATTACATAAGCCTTGGAACACTACTTCGCTTCGGGGCTAGAACGCGACACACATTCCGCAATCTACGGGCACTGCAACTGGGTCTCGACCTACAACTACTGTCACTGTCGGCGAAGCAGGGGAGCTTGTCTTCTCGCCGTCATCGCTGAACGCTTCTGCTGGCTCGGTCATCGCTTTCAATTTCCTAGGCCTTAACCATACATTGACTGAGAGTGAGCTTTGGAATCCATGTCACAGCAACCAGAAATTCGACACTGGATTTCGACAGTACAATCCGGCTAACGTGAGCGGAAAATTCATCGTCGAGATCGAGGTTACGAGTCAGGAAGCGAAATAGTTCTTTTGCGCTTAAACAGCAAAGCGCTCTCATTGTTAGGCGGGGATAGTGTTCAGTCTGAATCCACACGGAGCGCATGCTCAATTCCTCCACAACGCCTTAGCGGGCGTTAAAGCCACAGCAACGCCGACTAACGGTGTATGCGAGCTGCCCTCAGTTCATCTAACAACAAGCAAAGCAAACACGTATCTAACACCTACTAGTACGTTGTCCGCAAACTCCAGTATCAGCTCGGTAGCCATAGCTCCGCCCATCTTTAGTTCCACGGGTACGACAATGAGGTTTAGTGTGTGGTCCATGTTCGCCCTCGCGCTTCTATAGATAGATAAACGCAATACAACAGTTGATTATAATGTCCTAAACGTACGTTAAACCTATGGTTCATGTATCGCGTAAGAAGAAGCGGTGACCCTATGATCACCTCTGGTATGTGCCTTCATGATTTGTACAATGTTACGCGTTGCTGTCGCAATCTATTCCTGCCCTTTACCCTTCTCACGCTTAGCATTCGCGTCGTTTTGAGTACAGCTTCGTGTAACTTACCCTGCATCAACAGTTCAAGAGTGTCTCCATACGCCATTCAATAACTTCCTCCAGCGCCTCAGAAATCTTCTCGTACTTCAACGCTGCATTGACCCGATTCACGATCTGACGTCGCACCTCTAGCGAAGTTTGTTGCCAGTTTTGCGGCGCATGTACGGTTTGTTGCCGGGTGAACAACTTCAACGATCCGTCAGTTCATGAACGCGAGATGGGTAGAGCAACAGACCAGGAACCGCTGCCATTCCCACCAATAGTAGCGAGCAGCTGCTTGGGCTCGAATCTCATTCTCCATTGTGGAATCGAGTGGCAAGTAGCAAAGCAGATGAGGTTTTACCGAGGTGGGAATTTCAGGCAGAGCATAGTACAGCCTGCTGAGGCCTTGCAGGCTGAGGAACTTTATGTGATGACCATGGACTGATTCTGATGCTGTCAAGGGTGACCAAATTCAGAATACAGATGTGTTACTATCATTAGGCTGTTAAGTTACGGCGCTTGTTTCTCGGTAGGTAGCTGACATCTGGGGTGGTTACAACCTCAACGAGTCTACGCCACACGTTTGCATATCACATGCATACAGCGCTTAAAGACGTGGCAGTGCACCAGTATGAAATTTGACCTATGCAGGTTTATCTACATGTGACGTTGGTACGCGATTGGTCCGTAGTATTTGCGCGACACTGTACCGCAATGCGTACAGCCTCGCTGTCCTCTGCGAAACGCTCCCAATCTCCAAACCCTCCAGAAATAACCATGAGATCCACAGCTACGCCGTTCGCACCGGAGCATTGCCTGTAAGGATGAGATTTAGCTCGTAGTGCTGCTAATTTAACGTACCATTCGAGTGCAGCTGGGCCATTGGGTGCACTTTCCGGTATTCGAAGTTTTGCTATCTGGTCGCCTGGACAATTCATTGGGTTCGCAAGTACAGACAGTGGCAAGAACGTCTCGTTCTGGAAACTCAACGTGGCTTGGCAGCTTGAGTTGCGAAAATTGCTGAGTCTATTCTTTGGTGAGAAATCTACTAGACTTTTGCGCGTACGGGGCTTAAGTTACTGGTAGTGAAGCTCTTCCCCAGCTTTCGCATGGACCACCGGGCTCGTTAGAATCGGCAGCGTTTGATCAAAGGGGATAATTTGGGCGGAGCACAAGCTCAAAAAGAACCACGTGTATACCAGCATATTAGACAGCGCAAAGGTCGGTAACAAAGGCTAAGGGCGGGCAAGTTCTGCTGATGGTGCTGCTGGAGAGATTGCCACCGCCAGCGAATCTTATATCACTTTAAGTCCTCCATAGTCCAAACGAACAGGATTCCGCATTTCTTGATTCGCGAATCCTGTCCTTTGCGACATGTTGCCGTGTTTACGTTGTCTAATGTGGCACAGTGTCCTGCTCCTGCTCCCGGCTCCAGAAGCTGTTTCGTGTACACCCAGTGTGTCCATCAACCAAGTAAACCAAAAATCGACCCTCTTACTTGACTTGGCTGACGAGAATCCTTTACCTTGCTTGGTTGGTTGACGAGAAGCCCTTGCTTTGCTTGGTTGGTTGACATTGCTCGATAGAATTTCCCGATTTGATATCTATACTAACCTACAGGAGCATACCAGTTCGAAGGAGGTGCTTTTGACACTCAATTGCCGCCACAGTCCCTGAATCGAGCCGATTCCGTTCATCCGTGATGACCTTCTTCGTCTGTGAGAATACCCGCTCACACTCAGCCAGAGTTGTCAACAATCATCAGATCGGCATGATTGGTTCCTATCTAGGTATAACACTTTCCTAATCGAGGAAATACTAACCTAGGTAGGAATCAATCATGCCGATCTGATTGATTGTTGACAACTCTACACTCAGCACTCATTGCAGGACAACTAAACAGATCAAACGCCATCTTAGAGAGCACAGGATAGTCAGGTGCATGGCGAATCCACCACTCTAGAGGGTCATCAACATCTCCATCAGCCTTATTAGTCCTAGCTATAAACTGATCAAGATCAGAGGTGACTCTTGCGCGTTTCTTTCCTCGCGTAGACGCCGTACTAGCGGCGACCCGCTGGCGACGCTTACGAGCTTGCTGGAGAAGATCGAGCGTTGTATCGCTATCAGTACCAACTTCATTATCCTCCTCTTGTGTTGCTTCTGCTATCTCTGCTTCCGCAGCTGCTTCCTCGTATTGTACATACTCATCATGCACCACCCGCTTCGCCTCAGTAATCCATTTCTTCTCATGACTCCATTCGAGCTCGAAATAGGTAAATTTGTTCGCAGGATGGAGGGCGACAGCGCATCGGTAGGCTGGCGTAGCGTCCGTAAGGCCGTAGTATTCTTCAAGCTTGAGGCGGGCAGTATCAATGGCACAGGAATAGTATTCCGAAACCTCCTCGGGGTGATTGTCTGCGAACTTTCCGGCTTCCTGAAGCTTCTTAAAGAGGACGTCAAGCGACTCGAGTGTCTCATAGAGTGAGCCATGTGATCCTTCGAGGCCAGCTTTATTGGCCCGGCCTTCCATGCGTTTGGTCAGATCTTTAAACGGCTTCAAGATATTAAAGAAGTGCTCCAGATTAGTCCAATCGCGCTGAGTAATGGCGTCCTGTGAGATATCGTATCCTTCACCGCTATGATTATAGTGGAGAAAGAACAAATCAATTGCGTTACGGAGCTTGAGAGCTCTCTCAATCATGGCATACACAGAGTTCCAGCGGACGCCACCGTCAGCCAGTACCCTAGTGTAAAGGTTCTCGATGCTGCCTCTATCGTACGCCTGCAAAATATACTCTCTCAGAAACTCCCGCCGCTGATCACTCCGGTTGATCCACACGCAGAAATTATGGAGCTTACCGATAAAACTCTGCTTCCTCCATATCTCAAACCGCTCATCATCAGATGCGCCACAGAGCTCTTTCTCCAACTTGCTAACCCCCGTCCCAAAGAGAAGAGCTTTAACGATGAGGTTTAGTATATGGCCAACGCACCGAAGGCGACTCTGCTGTGTGATTGTGGGGTACTGCTTTGCTAGTTCTCCAATACACGTGTCGTTATTGCCAGCATTGTCCATCATAAAGAAGCCAATGACAGCGGATATATCGTATAAGTCGATAACCGTTGACAGCAATTTCGCAATGTTCTCTCCAGAATGTGGGCCTTTTAGAGGCGGGAGGTCAAGAAGGGCTGTTTGCAACTTATGCTTCTCGTCTAGGAAGTGAGCAACAACTGCCACATAGTTCGTTCCTTCCTCAGACGTCCAGGCATCAGTTGAGATATGGATCTTGCTTTTCGCAAGATGAAGCCTTTCCTTCAGCCAAGCACGTCTCCCAGTATCACCGTCCCACATCTCTTTAATCCAGGTGCTAAGAGTTGATGGGCTCTTAGGTAGGATTTTATCGATATCCTCTAAGCAACCAGTAAACATGTTACGAGTGCGTTGATGTGTCGCTTGTCGAAAGGTGAAGTCAAGATCAATAACCCAGTCAATAAACTCTTTCTTGAACTGAGAGTCGTTGAACATCAAGCGCCGGCCTCCAAGGTATGGTATGGAGCTCGTTGCTCCCTTGGCCATGTCGAACGGGTTTAATGCCATTATTTTGTAACCGAATTCTTCAAGTTTGTGTTAATTCTTTAGGTGATACATG